GTACACGTTGCATTATCCTGTAAGTTAAATTTATGTAGAAGGCCTGGAGTGATAATCATTTTACTGAAGATTCGAGTGCTTAAAATTTCTTCTCTTCGATTCTCTGTCCACTTTGAAATAATATCAATGGTCGGAATATTTCCCAATTTTTCAAAATATTTGCTTAAGTAGTATTTTTCATTTATTTTTTGAATTCTATTTTGATATATATTTTTATGAATGTCTTCTGAGGCAATCCAGTCAATGTAAACATTGGACTCCGTGACCGATCTTTCTTAAAACAATTTTATATACATTTTCTAATCTAAGTGACACTAAATATCATAAATATTATCCATTTATACGCTTTTGCAAAATCACGGTTACGAACGTAGTCGGATACCTTAACCATCAAATCGTGGGCTGGATAGATAGATTGAATATTAACTTCGCACTGTTCAGCTACACGAGGGCTTTTGGCGACGGACCACGTAATTTTGAACCATGGTCAAGTGACGGGGACGACATCTGAGCTGGCACCCCCTCTCCTAACTACCACACCAACGGGAGGACGTTTCAGCTCTCGACAGATTTAACGTGTATCGCTGCCCTGCATGGAGGGTCTTTAGTGGTACTGGGCTCGAACTCGTGACAAGGCAAGTCATGATCCGATACCTATACCACTCGGCTACCGCGGCCGTCATCGTGGGCTGGAATCTTGAGGCCATAAAGGACTCGCTCTAATGCAGCTTCAAGTGTTACGTTTATAAAAAATCAAATAAAAGTCACTAAAGACTATGCATTAGCGTTAAGTCTGTCGAGTCTCAAAGTCTTCATGCTGGCGGGATGTGGAGGTTTGGATAATGGAATGGCAGCATGTGTCGCTATCGTTGTTTAGCCTTGGTTCAAGGATATGATGTCCGTAGCTAATAGCTCTCGAGTTGCTTCAGAGTACAACTTTTATAATAAATTAATCTTCTTTAAATAAACTTTTCGCGCTCCTCTTGTCATTAAGACAGTGCTTCCCAAACTTTCAATATTTGCGACCCAATATACAATCATAATTTTCATCGCGCCCCTCACCCCTCCATAGAATAACAATGTATTGAATTCAATAATACTATATTTTAACGCTAAAGCTACAATACGACTTTATCCTCTTAAATTCCACCGGCGTATATAAACGTTTGCTTACACAAAGCGTTAATTTCCTGGGACGTATATATACGTCTTTCTGAAGCATGATCTTTTCTGTGCATTGCATCCATAAAATTGTTCCGAAGGCTTTGGACTACAATAAGAGGTCTTTGATAGTGCTTGCGACGGATTTACTTATTTCAGGGGATTTGCTTATGTGTGTATGCCTTTTCTTCCCACAGTACATCCCATACGCGTGCCTACGTGGAAAGTGATGGTTCATTGATTGATTGATTGATTGAATATTAACTTCGCACTGTTCAGCTACACGAGGGCTTTGGAAAGTGATGGTATTGGGGAGTGAGAACCACGTAATTTTTAATTGACAGTTAAGGGATTAATTATAAACCGTACAAGTTATCAAGATAAGTGTTAATTTTTGTATGCAGTTTTATATATGATATGCCCACAGGGTCATTGGTAATTATTAAACTTGTTCTTAAATTAGTATTGTTAAATTAATTATAAAATACACTGTGCACAGTACAGGACTAATACATTTATAAGTATATTATAGCAGTGTAAATGTGTATTTTATTTTTACTATGTCATAATGTATTTTTTGTTTGTTTACTTTCAGTAAATTAATAATTTTTTTAAATAATCTTTTGTTTTCAACTTTTCAATATGCTTGCACCCCCTCGTAGAGTTATTTCGTCCCCTTAGGGGGCGCACCCCGCAGTTTGACAAACGCTGAGGTAAGATATTTCTAAATTATTGTATATTTAAAGTAAATAGTATAATTACTAAAATATTTTTAATTGAGTATTTATTTGAACAAAAAAATTGTTATGTTATTATCAGTAACTATATATTAATAGATATTTTATTCTAGCTGATTGTTGGATTTAAATCGATGAACAATACTTCTAATATAATGATGTTTGGAAGTAATTTTTCTTACGGCTATTTTTTACTCAGGTTGCAAAATTGAATTTGGGAATATTTATTAATTATATTTACATTACTTGTGTAATTTTAAAATGATTATGCTATGGATAAAATGACACTTTTGTATATTTATTATGATGGACATAGTTTTCTCTCTTGTACATAACGCCAGAGCTCAATATTATTTTAATAACATTTCATTGATTATGTTCCATACTGAAAATATTGATGTACTTTTATAAATTTCATTCATGTCGAGAGCTCTCCTTCAATATGTCAACTAGGTCTTGTGAATGTCGCAAACCTCTTTTCCTTCTTGAAATCATAATTATTTCTAACTTAGTATGCACATGATTGACTGCAAATGAGCAGATCGAAGATTTTTGACTGGCTCAAAATTCATCATTAGTTATATTTTGGTCTTAAAAAGGTTGAAAGCAAAAAAGGACATTATTTAGGTTCGTTTTTCAGAAAAAAACAGTTCAATTTATCATCGAGGGACTTTTTGACTCGTGTTAATTGTCATCTCGAACGTCATATGTGTTACACTCGCGTGACCCAGCGTTTTTATATTTTTTCTCTTGAGGAAATTAGGCTTCTGCATCGAAATATGATTTATTAACGCTGCGTGTCACTTATACTTTATCCAATCTATCTGAAGTAAAATGGTGACTGCGATAAAGTTTCGTATATCAATTAAACAGAAAAAAAAATCTTCAAAAATCGGTTTTCATAAATGCATTTCCAGATCAATGGGCCTGCACCAACTTCTTATGAGTAGCTACTTTTAGTTTTCGTTCGAAGTATTGCTTTAGAATAAGTGATCATGGAAAAGGCTAGTAATTGCTTTTTGTTAGAAGTGTGTTTCTATATTAGAGCAGAAGTTCAAAGCGTATTACTTTGATTCGAATTGTTTACTATTGTAAAAGTAATTTTCTTGAGCATATTTTCTCTGTTCATGAACTTACAATTAAATACAAGCGTTTTAACCGGCATTCTATTTTTAAACATTTATTTGTATAAATCACCAAGTCAGTAACTTTGTACACACTCTGTTTGAGAAAAAAGAATGTTGAATTTACACACACACTTTTTGAACTTTTCTCTAAAATATTTTCAATATTAAAATATTTATAATGCTATCATGCCGCGTGGGTGGTGTAGTTGTTTTGTCCCTGGCATTGTACACCTAAGGTTGCGGGGTTAACCTCGGCACAAGTCGATGGATTTCCATGATGCAGAAAATCGACAGCGTCCATGTTGCATGATTATGAGGCATGTAAAAGATCCCTTGAGTGTTTGTTTGTGGCTTGGGTACTCTCAACAAAATTAAATTCCTAAGTCCGTTTTCGCATTGTCAGAGTTCAGGGGCCTCTCTCAGGGGAGGAAACTGGGTGTCAAAATTACCTGCGGCGATTAATATTCCTTCTATATGGTGTTGCACTAAAAGAGATACCTACTCCCGAGTAATATACTAATGTACTAGATCTGAAATGCTAAAACAACAATCCACAGCCTTATTATAAATAAAAAAGCTACTTTCAGTTCAAAAGTTTGTTATTTTGTGTGTTACAGTTTTTGTATATTAAACATTATAAAGCAAATTTTGATTGAACAAAAATCTTTCATTTTCCAGAAGTTTAAGGAATTTTTTTTTCAATCCAAAATATGAATATGTGAGTCATATGAGAAACAGAGAATTGAGCAATTACTCAGTTATTACTATTTAAAGAAGCCTCGGTTGTGACTTTTATAACTTCGGAAAAAATTTTTAAGAGCTTTTAATAACTGAATTTACAGACTTTTGACTTAACAAAATTTTTGTCTACAATATATATATATATATATATTGCTGAATAAGAACACTTAATTAAACAGGGGGATAGTCATTTTTAAATCAGCAAAACGAATGTGTTCATTGAAATCACATTCTCTCTTTCTTCTCTTAGATAATTCTTTTATCTCAGTATTTGATTTATCAATAATGAGTGGACTACATATTTCAGCAAGTCAATGCTAGCATTCTAGAAGATTGCTTTAACAATTTTCCTCAAAATTTTAATGAATGCACTTGAATAACCATTAAAAACCCCTAGAATGTATTCTGACAAAATATTTGAATCACGAGACAAATGAACGTAAAAAGAAAATATTTCCATATCCTTAAGAATTGTGTAAAAAAATGACTTGATGTTAATAATAAAATAGGGGCATCTAGTCCTCTCTTTAAAATTTCCTAGAAATCCTTTAAAATTTCATTTTATTCTGTTGATCGTTGAAACAGATTATACTGATGAAATGATCAATATTAATCATAAGAAAAGTATTGATTTTTGAGCGGATCTGTATTACACTGAAACGAGTGATACTCGCACTGTATCAAGAAAACTGTGGTTAAAATTTGTGATGTAGTAAAATGTTTTTCTTGGATTATATACCTAAAATGATATATACTTATTATGAATAAAAGAAGTATCTTTTGAATATGTCCTTCCTTCCTTTATTTATCATTTCCGAACATGATGGTCATTATTATGGTAATACAAAAAGTCTTGGAAATTTTGTATATAAAAATTTCAAGTAAGTAATAAAAAAAAAGTAAACACGTACATACTATTCCATTCCTTTCAAACGAATTAAAAAAATCATGTCATCAACTCTCTAATTATGTTTTCTTTTTCAATTCCTACTATTAAAAAATTCACACTCTCCCTATATATATATATATATATCTTGTTCAAATTTTCAATCGTTAATATAAAATACTTTTTATTCATTCACTCAAGTTCATTTTTTTAAACTTGTAGTGGATGACACTTGATGTTAATACAGTTTTTCCAAACATTAATTCATTAACTAAATTTAATTAATGAATAAATAGCAACAAAAATAATAGTCCAACACCATATATAAAAAGGAAAATTGCTCGTTGTATCCCTGTAGCGCAATAGATAGCACGTTGGACTTCTAATCCAAAGGTCGTGGGTTCGAATCCTACCTGGGATGGCCTAATTTCTGAAAATATGATTCATGAATGAATAAATAATAACAAACAAAAATATAGTAGTACAACACCATACATAGAAAGGAAAATCACTTCCTATTTCGCCACTTAATATTGGGATTCAGTTATAAGTATGTACATATTTATATTAATTGCAATTATTTAATAAAAGTAACTAAAATAAATATTTTCTTTGTTGACCTAAGTAGAAATTGACTTAAAAAAATTTTTTTTTTTAATATTACTTGTGTTCCGTTTCAAAACAGTCTTGCTAAGCAGTTTATTAAAATGGTATGCTTAATTAAGAGACAAATTTTAAATCAAAATGTAAATAAATAAGTATTTTAAAATTTTATATTTTATTAAATGTATATTTGTGTGTTTGATGTGTATTTAATGACAGAGTTTTTAATGTTCAGTCCGTACGATTTGACTTAATGATGACGAAGCGATGGATAGATGAAAGACTGCTCTTCCCTGTCCTTTCTGATGAAGATAAAGTCGTTCTTGATTTAGAATGGAGGAAACGTATTTGGATGCCCGATATCTTTTTTGAGAATTCGATTGAAGGCCACGTCCAAGACATGATCATCCCTAATATGTATGTTTGGTTGTTTAAGAATAAAACTATTCAATTCACGGCCAGGTAAACAGGCTTTTGGTTTCTGAAATTTTGTTAAATATTTGAGTTTAGCTAAGTTCATATTATTCTAAGTTATATATATTTCAAAAATTCTTGTTGAGCCTCTGTACAGAGATTTGATCTATATACAGGCAAAATATTATTATAATTGAAGTATTTTTCACAAAGGAGAACATTTTGAAAAAAGATAATTCTAAGTTAATTTTTAGCCGAAATATTGTATTTAAATAATTTTTTTTGTCAAAATGTGTCCTTAAAACAATTTTATACATGTATTCTAATCTAAGTGAAACTAAATATCATGAAAATTATCCATTTATGCGCCTTTTTAAAATCACAGTTTCGAACGTAGTCGGATACCTTAAGTTTTTGAAACTAATAAGAGAAATACTTAAGAAAATGTTCCTTTGAGTGCTTGGGAAACCAATTTATAGCTGCATCGTGAGGTTTAGACTTACATATTTTCTATGAAGGAGTATTTTTTTAATGTGGTTCTTAGTTGAGTTCAATGCATCTAAGTAGTCTATTGTACCTAAGCAGAAAACAAGAGAAGGCTATTAATTGAACTACAGATAGTTTCGGTGCAATTGTGAATGGTTTTAAGTCCCTGATAAGGTTGATTTTCAGTTCTCTCTCTCTCTCTCACACACACAAATTACTTTTGATAAAATTTTAATTTACATTACATTCATGTGCTTTAAACAGACAAGTAAGAAATTTAACCAAACTCTTAAATTCAGTTAATTGGCTCCAATGAGAGTACGCATGAATTAAAAAAATTGCATTTAAGGTACTTCTCTTCCAATATTTGATTAAGAGAGTGAGAGTTATGAAACATTGCACTGTAAAGCAACACTAGGACTATTGTCCACGTACCCCGTAATTTTGAACCTCGGTCAAGTGGTGAGGACGATACATGATCTCTGGTACTACTCTCTTCTAACTACCCCATTACATCAAAGGATGGATACCAAGACTAGACAGATTTAATATGTATCTGTCCCTCTACACGGCGGGTCTTCAGTGGCACCAGGAATCGTACCCGTGACACTCCGGTCACGTGTTTGTGACCATAACCACCTAGCTAATGCACCCAAATTTTTGATTAAAATTTTATTAATGCATCATATGTAATCCATGTTCACTTATATTTCCTTGATTTTAGAAAAATTATATTATTTTTTTTCTCACTTTATTCTATTCAAATATCAATGATATCGATCAGAGATTCTGATCAAATTTTAACTACTATAGTTATAGACACACACAGAAAAAAGTAAGCAAATATTCTTTATGATCTTGTTGATTGAAAAAGGAAATTGTTGAGCTTTATTCTGTTATAAATCTGAATTATTTATTACAATAATACAACTTTCTTGAATGATGCTATTCATTTTTATATTCAAAGGATACAAAAACATTATATTGAAGTTCATTATCTCTTTAAAGGGAAACCAATTTCCTTTAATTTTTTTTATCGACTATCACAGACATAATCGAAAGTTAAATATAACTGCTGTTTATGTGAAAATCTGAAGCAGGGTTGAAGAAAGGCAAACGTGGTATGTGTTTATAAAAGGGCTGTAGGAGAGTAAATCGATGAGAAACAAGGATAATTCTGAAATTTATCATCGAAATAAGAAGATTGCAAGAAAAACAGTTATTTTATCAATTAGAAATTTAGCGCAAAAAATATTGAAAATAAAGGAAATAATAAATTTAATATGATGTGTGGTTACCTCTGGTAGTCATGCATGCTACACAGCAATTCCCATACTTACGATGATGATATTGATGAATTATGGGCTCAAAGAGTTATAAGCCTGATGCAGAGCTGTTTTGAATTCTAAAACGAAGCTACGGGCTGCAATTTGTCTCCCAATAATCATATACAAATTCTATACAATTAAGATCAGGAGACCTTGATGGCTAGTGCATGCACTGGGCATCTTAACATTCAAAAATGTCGATGGATCCCACACGATGGGAAGGTGAATTATTATCTATGGACATGAATTCGCCACCATTGTTAATAACAGGCACTAAAAACAGTCGTATAAATTTAAATATTATTTTTCATTGATGTTGTCTTTTGATACTTCAGAAGGATTTTGACAACTGACTTCGTAATTTTGAACGATTCAAGTAACGGGGCGGCATCTGAACTGACACCTCGCATTCCAAACTTCTACACTATATTTAAAAAAAGGACTTAGAACCTCGATGGATTTAACGTGTATCAGTCCTTCTACATGGTGAGCCTTCTGGAGAACTAGGACTTGAGACAGAAGCAACACCAACCATCAGTTCGCGATCATGACGATTCAGCTGCTGCTCCACTGAAATTTTGTCAAATATCTTTGAGAAATATTATTTGAAAAAATAACTTTTCACCTGTAGCTTACTTTTGTTACAGATTTATATTTCGCATTGGTATTCATTGTTTTATTTTCACATTATATTCTTTTTATATTCTTCGTTCCATAGAAAATGCTCATATATTAAAACAAAATGTTATGTCGTACAAATTCTCGTATTTAGTTCTTGTGTTCATATAGTTAGTTTCCCACTAAATTTCCTATATTAGATTGTGTATTACCTCTCCTTTTCTTTAAGATATTTCTTTTTTCATGTTGATAATAATAATGTTATAAGCAGATTTCAAAATGTCTATAAGATTCTTGATACGTTGCTTTTTTTAATATAGAATCTCCATCGAGTTTAGCTGCCACATGGATTTGCGACTTTTCCCACATGATACTCAAGAATGTGATATGATAATAATGAGTCGTAAGTCACATTTCAATGTAGTGCTTCAAAATTTAGCAAGGACTATTATTGTATAAATATACATTAAAAGCATTAACAGAGATGAGAAGTATTATGTTATATGAGAGGTATTAGTAGTATTATTATAAATATCTCTGACCTCTTGATGTATGAGAAGTATTATTACAAATTTTTCCCTATTCTACAAAAGCATTTTATTGCATACCATGATAGCAGAGAAATATATAATTTCATTTGATTTTTGTCTTTTTGTATCAAATTTAGCGAATTAGTTAAGAAAATTGACATTTTCTATACCTTATAAGAGACAAGTCATTGTGTTCATGAATATGCAGGGTTAGCTAGGAACAAGTTGCTCACTTCAGAAGGCTCTAAAATTCGTTCGTTCAACCAAATGAGATAAAATTTCACCCACAGATAATTCATATGATGCGCTTGCCATTTATTAAAAAAATGATGGTATAAAATTTCGTTGATAGGTGGTACACAGGGTGGATAGGTAATACATATAACTACGTTTAATATGCTTTAAAATATTCAAAAATATAAAGCAATGCTCAATATGATACCCTTCATGTTCATCGATGCGCTCTAATCGCTGAACCATATTTTCAACAGCTGACCGGAGTCATTTTGCCGGAATATCCAGAAAATGGCTGTCTTTCACATCAGGCAGAATTTCTGGTCTTTGATGGTAGATATTTCTCTTTAGAAAACCCCACAACCAAAAGTCGCAGGAGGAGGAGTGGTAGTATCCGGCAAATGAAGAGGGATCTCCTGTACATTTGTGAAACGCTATTTTAGGAAATGCCTTACGCGATCAACACGAGGATGTGCGTCATCTTACATGAAAGTCATATTCTGATGACATCCACGCTGTTTGAGTTGTGGGATAACAAAATCCCTCACCAAACCATAGTACCGTTTTCCTGTGGTGGAACAGATTTGGATTCCCTTTGACCTCATATCTTCAAAAAAAATACGGTATAATGATAAAGGTAGCCGGGAAACCACACCATATTGTCTCTTTTTTTCAAAGATGCATGGGTTTTTTTGGATAGCGTGAGGATTTTCAGCTGCCCAAATTCGACAATTGGGGGTATTAACTTGCCCATCGATGCAAAAGTGGGCTTCGTCATTCGAATAAGGAGCTGAAGTACAAACCTCTTACGAACCTCTGTATCCCCATTTTTCAATTGATGCACGTTTCGGATTTTGTACAGATAAAAATGCAAAATCCGCCGTAAGATTTGTCGCACAGAGGAATATGGAAATGCACGTGTTGCGCAAGCAATCAAGTAAAAATTCGAAAAGGAGCTGTAGTGAAAGAGTACTGAAAGATATATGTAGTCCGGCATCTTTGGTGTATTGGGATGACTTGTAACTAACTGTAACGTTTGCTGTATTGTGGTGTCTTTTGTGTTCATGTTTTGTGCCTGTATCAAATAAATCAAGTATTATAACTGATGTGCCTGCTTGAACTGATTCAAAGTGCTAGAGCAGATGGTAGCTGCTAAGACTTTTTACATAACAACACAGGAAACAATTGGTCCATTCACACTACCATCC